CCAACCCTGGAGAAGTGGGAACCATCCTGAAGGATTAAAATAACATAATGAAACACCATGTGACAGACACTGTGTTAAAAGCTTTACATACTTAACTCATACATAAAAGCTTTAATTTTCTTACCTCTCCCAATACCCGTAAGAAAAAGTGGTATTATTATTTTAGTTTTTTTACAGATAATACTTGGGGAGGCAAAGAAACCTGACTAGAGTTAAACAGCTAACAAGTTTCAGAGTGGGAATCTGACCCCAGGCAGCCTGGCATCAGAGCCCTTGTGGTTAACCTGTATTCTAATATGTATCTCAAACTCCATCCTGCTGGTTAAAAACTGTGATACACTTGCAGTGAAATAGGAAGATTCTGATTAGTTCAACTGTAGGGTTGGCAAATGTTCCCAGGCCACTTAGAAAATCACAGCTTTACCTGTTCCATCTTTGAGAGGTAGCTGCAAGCTTCAGCCACAGCAGAGCCACCAGTGAGACACCTGGCAGCTACGTGCCCAGACTCTTGGGGGATCATCTTTCTTTCTCTGCCCTTCCTTGCACTTTCCTTCCTTCCCCTCCCACCTGCTTCCCTCTCCTGCCTGCCCCCAACCCCCACCCCACCCCCACCCACCTGCAGGACTGTGCCTTTCACTCCTCCACTGACTTCAGTGAGCAGGGTGCTCCTGTCCCAGTGGTCCTGAGAAATCCCACCCAAGAAAGGGGTGCAGAGCTGCAAGGATCCGATGCCGCTACTCATGTTGTGTTGTGGTGGCCATCAGTTTCCCTTTCCTGTCCTGATATCAGGCCCTCCAGAACAGTGAACTGTGCTCATTTTCCTCTGGATTTCCAGTGATGAGTCTAGGGCCTGGTGTCTGTGACATCTACATATATTGAAATAAATTAACTAGTAATTTTCCATACAGATTTCCTTAAAACTGCATTTTACTTACTGGCTTTGTATACCCTCCACAGCAGAAGTAATTCAGTGCTGTGCATTTACATTAGCTTACAATATTTATGCCATCCTGTCATACACGCCACCCATCCACACTAGTGTGAAAATTGCTGAAGGCAAAAACTGTATCCTACTCACCACTAAATGTCCCCTGCCAGGCCTTCATGTGGTTGGCCCAGTGGTGGCTGTTGAGTTCCTCTGAATAATCTCACTATAAGCAGAAACTGTATGCTTAGATGGCAATGCTCACCCAAGGCCATCTACAACTTCTACTAATGAATTTGGAAGTAGATTTCTTTCTTATATTGCCAAATTATAAGAAAGTTTCCATGAGCTACCATAGCTTTCCCAGGAATTCATGGGTTCAAACTATACTGTACTAGGAGTCTCCTTTGTTCTCCATTGGGGGGGCTCAAGTCACATAGGCTTGCCACACCTTGCCACTGCATGTTGAGTTTTTGCATCAGTACATGACTAGGAGTCTGTTTGCCTTCAGTCCTTCCCAGTCTATGTAAGCCGTGCCAGAGTCCTTACATTTCCCCGAGAGCTGCAACTCCTCTAAAACTACTTCCATCATTGTTGAAGTCTTGATAACTACTCTTTCCTTGAGCTCCAGGGCTGGATCTTCTGGTACGACCACACTTTCTAGGCACTGGCACGAGCATTCATGAGCCCCAAATGTCTCGGGCTCTGTGCTGACTCTCAGACTGGTGTCATGTTGGGACTCAGCTGATCCTCAGGACACAGAGACCACTCTTTACTCCCTTCCCACCTCTTTGGATCAGGGTCCTCCAACCCAAAAGAGCTTGTTTCTTTCCTTTTCTGTCATTGTAGAAACTGACGCCCATCAGTTAGAGTTTGGAAGGGTCCTGATGCATGAACTATTCTGTCTGGCCTCCCTAGGGTTAAAGAAGACCTGACCTTGGAAACAGAAAAGCCTTCTACTGTGTCCTGGAAGTTACTATCTTCCCTCCTCCCTACTGCCAGCCATTCATGCACACCCCAGCCCAGAAGCCCTCTTGGCTCTGCAAAAGGAAACACAAGGAAGGCCCCCACAGCCCACGCCTTAGAAGTGTGTGATCAGAGATCCTGCCACAGATTCCAAGTGGATCATTTTTTCCCCCTTTTGTACAAAACTTCAGAATATTTTGCCTATGTTGGGATGGCAGTGGTCAAGCTAGAAAAGTAAAATAGGAAAGAAGAAACAAAGCCAGCCCTAAACAAAGCACCAAGGGAACTCAAGATCATTGATGCGAATGTCCTTAAGGCCAGGGGATTATACACTTACAAATGGTTAAGATGGTAAATTTTATGTTATGTGTATTTGAACACATACATAAAAAGACTATATAAATAAGACTTTGTTTTGAGGGGGGGAGATAGTTGTCAGAAACGGTTACAAGTATATGTGCCAAATCTTCTAATGGGTAAACCAATTTCTGAATATATTTAATCTGCTAAAATACATTTACACTAAATGAAATTGAGTTGTCATAAGACAGTGGTGTCTTTTCTTCCATCCTTTTTATTGTTTTTGCCAAAACAACACACTATAAGAAGAGATTTTAAGCTTGTCAGCTACTTCAGAAATCATCAATTTTAGGATAAGGTCCCTGATGGCATCATTTCACCAGACCCAGTTTTTGGAAGATGGGTTTTTGGTCTCTCTTCCTGTACACATTACCTCAGATTATATTCAGGTTGTAGAACAGTTACAGACATGATATCTCTTAAGTTACAGATAAAAACATAACACAAGTAAAACACTCTCAGTGACTTAAGTGCATTCTTCTCCTCACGTGTCCATTTTGTGTGGATATCAACTTGCATTCCCAGGAAAGTAAATCATGCTCGTAACTGTGAACTCATACATCTTCTGTGTTTAGTTGAACATTTTAGTGGAATTACCAGGCACTGGTGGCCATTTCTATACTTCTTTAAACATAGGCATCCATCAGGGTACAGATCGTAAGCATTTTGAAAAAGCCATACATTAAGAGGCAAGAACTGCTTGAGGAATCACAAATATTTATTCTAAAGGTCTTCAGCTTTCCTCTGACTTGGGCTGTCTGCTGATATTTGTCATTTATTCAACACCTCAAACTCATTCAAATAGGATCCAGACCTTCATAATTCCACTTGGATGACCCCTTTATTTTGAATGAGAAAAATTCAGATAGAAAAATCAAATAAATGTTAAGCACTTGAAATTATATGGCTGATTATATCAGTCTATGATGGAACTAAAGGAGGTTTATAAAGTGTCCCTGATGACAGGGTGCTGTGGCCAGCTGCTTCAGATTATTTGGCACTTGGTGGCACTGAGAGAGCCACTTGACTTGGAGACCCTCTGCCATGTCACGCATGACATCTCCACATGTAACGTTCCAGTGTAACCTCATCTTCCAAGCCTCTAATAAAGCCAAGTAAGTGAAAGGACTTTGTAATCTACAAATCACTGTACCAATGCCAGTAATTACTAAAATTTTAAGTTATTACTTAGGGTTCTACAATAAATCTGTTAATTTTCTGAGATGGGGGAGCCAGACTTCCCTTCCTCTGAAGCATCAAGCCCTAAATGGGGTGAGGAAGGAGGCATTAGTGACAATCAACTTTGTATCCACAGCTCTAATCTAGTGGCCAACACAGATGACCCATGGATTAAATGCTGTTGATGGATGAGTCTGAGTGGAGGCTGCAGGGACCTGCCCACAAGCCAGGAACACCGGAGAGCACCTTTTGAACCAGAAGGACATTAGAGACACTATTCCAAGAGGATTGTGCTGGGGTGGAGTGGGCAGGGACTCAGGATTTAGGTAAAGCCAGGTGCAAACCTTGGCCCTGCAACTTAGGAGCTGTGGGAACTTGAGTAAGTTATTAAATCACAATTTCTTTGTCTACAAAATGGGCAAATAAATTCACCTTGCCAGTCTGAGTAGGGATTAGAAATAATGCAAGGAAAGCATTTGTTTAGATTCCTAGGGCCAAGGAAGCAAATTATCACAAACTTGATGGCTTAAAACAGCAGGAATTTATTCCTTCACAGTTTCAGAGGCTATAAAAATGAAATCTAGGGGTGGGCAAGGCTTTCCCCAACTCCAGAGAGGCTCTAGGGGAGAATCACTCCTTGCCTTTTACACCCAGTGGCTCCAGGCCATCCTTGGCTTGTGGCTGCATAATTCCAATCTCTGCTCCTATCTTCACATGGTCTCCTCATCTTCTCCTGTGTCTCATGTATCTTTTATAAGGACACTTATTATTGGATTTTGGGTTCACCTGGATAAGCCAGGTTGATCTCATCTCCAAATCCTTAATAGCATCTGCAAAGACCGTTTTTCCAAATAAGGTCATATTCACAGGTTCCAGGGATTAGGACATGGGCACACCTTTGAGCAGGGTTGGGCTGGGAGTGGACACCATTTAACCCACCACAGCATCTAACATATACCCGGCATAGAGAATCCACTCAATATAGGAGCCACTGCTCAATATCTAGCCACTAGGATAATAGTTATTATTACTGTTTTCAGTGTGGAAGGACAGGGCTTCTTGTCTCCCTCACCCCTTCCTTCCTTCCCGGCCTCACTCTTGGTGGGAAGGGGGCTTTACCTGAGTAACACATCAAAGCAGTGCTCTGGAGAGGTCCCATCTCCCAAGAAGGACGTGTGTGTCCTGCAGGTGCTCCACTGTGAAAATCTAAAAGACCATGTTCACCTCTAAAAGGAGGACTGTTTACAAGCTGCCGCCTTCTCATCTTCTCAGGAAACATGTCTCCAGAGCTGTGACTTCCCACAACAAAGAGGGAGCCAAGACAGGGATGGGGAAGAGACAGGCTAGATGGGTTAAAAACAAAGGGAGAAGCTGCCCTGGATGTCTGATTCAAGCTGACTGTATGGGAAGAGGACACTATATCAGCCCCTCTCATTTGGACTCCATGTGTGTTCACTGGCAGATGCTGGCTTTTTTTTTAGCGATGGACTACAGCTCACACCCCAGCACTGTCCCACCCAGACCGGCTCCCTCACTTGTGCTCTCACCTTCCCCCTTCTTGCAGCTCACAGGTTCTCCAGGCTGCACAGCATATTCAAGCTGCCCTCCTCAAGCGCACTCGTTCAGATGCCTCTGCAAGGGGAGCATCTGGTCCTCCGCCTGATCCCTGTGCTGGACACAGCCAGAATCAAACAAAACAGCGAGATCCATCTCAGATAGGTCAGTAAAAAGTCTGGAAGGAGGGACAGAGCAGCACCCCAACCTTTGCCCTTAGTTCCTATCCCTGGGCTGTTTCCAACTTGTGGACTTTGCTGGTTGTTTTCCATTTGCTTACCCCCAATCCACTCTCTGTTCACCGGCTCTGTGCTAAGATGCTCACTCTTGTGGAATGCCTCACCCAGGCTCCATTACCAACTGACTTTCAACTGGGGTTGGCCAATGGGAGGCTCTGGCAGGAGGCAGAGAATTGTGGTGAACACAGTCTGGGCCCTTCTCTGCCCCCGGCATACTTCTGGCAGCCCTAAGAATCACAGCTCCTACCACACAGTCTCTTCCCAGCTCCTGCTCCCACTGGGCTCAGGTGATTCTATTTTGCTCCTTCAGCCCTTCAGCTCCAAGGCAGTTAACACCTTCTGCGGTTGGTCATCTCTGGGCACCTCAGCATCTGCTGTGACCCTTCCTGTGAAGTCTCTTTATTTGAACAGTTTCCTAGAAGGATCCTTGCCGGTGCATGGTGGAACCATCTTCTTCCTCCACTCTGAGGTGCTTTGGAGGGCAGTGCCATGCAGACCTCTCTTTTAGGACTGCAGTACTCGTTTCCCACTTGCTTGGGTTGCTTAGCCCTCATTCAGGAGTCTCGCTCAGCAGAGAAGGGCCACTGTCCCAGGGTCACACTCTTCCCCAAATGCAGTGCATGTCTAGTGATCCAGTGACTGATCAGCAGGGAGAGGAAATGACCTCTCCACCTCATGCTGCTTAGCCTTTGAAGGCAGTACATGCCAGACTAGACCCAGTTTCCTTCTGTCAGGTCTTAACCAAAGTTTACTACTTACCTGTCTAGATCTCCTACCTGTTTCCCACTCCCTGCAATTCCATTAGTTGGTTCCGTATTCCTCTCATGACTACAGAGTCCAGTTTCTCTTGTCTGAACTGCCTCATTACTGGCTGACCTCTAACTGATATGCTTTCAAACAAAATAATAAAGATGCGTCTCAGTTCATGCTACGTGCTGGACACAGTGCAAGTTACTAGGATTATAGAAATGGGTAAGAAGTAATTCCTGTCTTTGAGTTTTCAAATCTCAGATTTACTCCCCTTATTAGCTGCATGACTTCGTTAAGGAGACTGAGAAGTGGCTAGAAAGGCAGGAGGAGAACCCAAAGAGAATGATGCTTTGCAAGCCTCCTCCGGCAGAAGGCAGACACCAACTGCGTCAAATGCAGCTTGGGAGGCTGTATAAGATAAGGACTCGGAATTTTCAATGGCTGTGGCCACATGGTGAAATTTAGTGGATTGGTAGGCACAGCAGCCTAACTGGGGAGGGTTCAAGAGAGAAAAAAGGTCAAGGATGTGGAGACTGACTGAAGATCACTCTTTAAAGGAGTTTTGCTGTAAGGGGAAACAAATGGAGTGGCAGATCATAAGAGGTTTATTTGTATTTTGTTTAAACATACAAATATTGGTATGTTAAACAGGAGATTTAAAAAAAAACAGCAAGTTTTTACTGATAGAATGATCAAGTCAGGAGGGAAAATTTGAATGATTTAGGGATGGGGTGAGAGGAGATAGAGATGGATCTGGTGCACAAAGGAGAAGCCTGCGCTAAGGAGCAGGGATAGTAAATAGAGGAGCTAGCAGATTCCTAGTGCAAGAATGGAAGTTCTCTTCTGATTGCTTCTATTTCTCCTGTCGAAATTCCTGAAAACATATGTTATTTTGCAAACATTCTAAAGTGATTTTTCTATTAAAAAAAGCTCTCTCATTTCATTAACTTAGCCAGGATGATCAGGATCTGTGTACCAGTTCATGCTAATAAAATTCATAGAGACTATGAATCAGAATTATAATACATAATCAACATCCCCTTCCCTAGATCTAAGACATGTCATCCGGAGAAGGCATCTGCTTTTTGGTCACTCTATTTTCTCAGGAATCTAAATTACATAGTAGAGGGTTGCTTGATGAGCATAGAATTGGAGAAAAGGCAGTAAATCTTTGGAAATTTCTTTGAAAATTGACTGTAGTTGACTAATGATTTGTCCTTCACTGAAGTAATTATTCTTTGTAGAGAACTGTTTTCTCATCCTAAAATCAAGCTCTCCTTCCCATCCTAAATATTTATCATAAGGTACAGTTTCCCAAGATCATGATTGATAATGCTTACATGAGAGGAATTTCCAAATCACAAATGCAAAAGTGCTATTTCTGGCAAGACTGTCTTCAATTCGAAACATAAATTTAACATTTATGGTAGCTACCGTATCAAAAGTTGGTATCTCACCCTTATCTCTAAATCTTGGCTTTTTCTTACTTGGGGGTGATTTGAGCTTTCTGTGTACTAAATACATGCTAGTTTTCCTAAAAAGTTCATGAGGAATAAAAGAATAAGTACAGTGTAAGGAAGTAGAGCCTGTGGATTTTTTAAAAAGATCTAATGCAAAACATAAATTAAATTCAATCCAAGGCTAAAAAGGTGATTAATTACAGCCATCATATCTCATTCATTAAGAAGAAATAAACATTCTACTCCTTCCTTGAATTGGTTTAACTTGAACTTTTTCACAGGGGACATGAGAGTAGGGGCCTTTCCACTCTGCTAGCATAAATGCTCCAAGATGTGTTAGTGTAATAACTTAGGAACTCAACTCAATTATTAGGAGATATTTTTTTCTATGCAAGTACTATCCTCCCCTAAACTTTAAGTAACAAAGCCATAACTTACTATCTAAAGCATAACTAAACCTAGTATCAAGTTTGAATTTTTAAATAATTATTATTACATTATATTTATGTACATGGGCTTTAAATCCTAGTAGGTTAGAATTCTAGTTGTCCTATTTTATAGGTAGAGATGCAGTGTAATATAAAGATCCTTCATTTATTTCATTTATAAAGCAGGAATAATATCACCTACCTATTTCTTAAGAGTTTTTGTAGGGTTTGCAAATGATAGTAAATGTTTACAGTACATTGTAGGAGCTTAATGAATGAAATCCACTTGACAGTCAAAGGTGTTTAGAAGGGCTCATGTAAAAAAGTTTGAATTTATGCTTGAGAATAACTTTTCTCCTGTTTCTCATTTCTTAAATCATTGACCACACTTGGACTGGGTGATCAGGAGATAGAAAATGTATGTTTTATCTATATCAATGTCAATTGAAATTCAGATGAAAGCACAAATATATCCATTTACATTTATTCATTTAGTTATTCCTCTAGGAAACAATGTATTGTGATTATGCATGCAAACACACACATATTAGTAGTATGTCTTACACACTGATAAAGTGGCAAGAACATAGAATATGCTCATTCTCCTACATCTGTGACCGTTTCATTTTTTCTTCTGTTTTTGTCTTCTCCCTACTTCCTCCCATCCCTTATGAATTTGGGCTCTCTTCTCTTTCTGCTTTTTTATCTTGGAAAACACAGCCTTTGCCATACATAGATGTTTCTCCGCGTTGTAACTCTAGTCAGTATCTTTTGCTGGAACTACGTATCTGCTTTCAGCTCCCTGTTTGGCATCTCTAGGTGGATGGCATGATGGCAACTTTAAATAAACATACCCAAAGTTGCCTACATCCTCTCACTCCCAAAACTAGCATCATCTCCTGAGAATCTTATGCCTAAAATTGGAAACATGCTGGTTTTGAGTCTTCCTCCCTTGCACACTGTATCTAATCAGTTGACCTAAGTCCTTTGCCTTGATGCCCTTATTACCAATTTCTCATTCCTGTTTCTACCTTTTACTGAGATTCTTATTCAATTTTTATAAAACCTTCTAACCAGTTTCCTTACCTCATCTCTTCTCATTACAATCTAGCCTATAAATTATATCTAGATAAATCTTCCTAAACTACAAAAGCAGTAATTTGCTTTCATTCTCAAAATCTGTTGCCAAAGAGAGGAAATAAAAACTCACGCTTGGTCCCTGAACTTTCCTACCAGATATTATTCAAGCTATCTTTTGAGTCCTATTCCCTTTTGTTCCTTTGACCTTGAGGTTGCATAAATAAGTGGCCCCACAAAGCCAGATCTATCTTGCACATGTAATTTTCATTGGCCTACACAATGACTTTATAAATTTGAATTAATTGCTTATTTCAAGTTAGTCACTAACATGAACTTTGGACCCACATTCCTACATGATACAAAGGGCTGAAGCTGGGCAGTGAGTGCCTTTTATATGGAGAAATATGACCCAGTTCATCACAGCCTTCGTTGATTGGTGTCAGTCTGCTACTGGCTTGGTGCCTGTAGTCATTGAATTTATGGTGGTTGTACTACACTTGCTGGTGCTCTGACCAACTGTATCATTCATAAATGTATGGTATGTCTTTGCTTATGTTATTCCATCTTTCTAGAAATGCCCTCTCCCTCCATCTTTCCTGTCTTTAATAAAGGCCCATTTCAAACACTGCATCTTCCATGAAGCTTTCCCTGACTCTGCCCCACTGGGTATTACTACCCTGTTTCTGAACCTCCATAATACTCTGTGGTTCCATGCCCTGCCCTGCTCTCCACTGGATCATAGTCGCTGGTATCCTCGATTCTGCCCTGTTTCTCAAGGAGGTGCATTGACAATACTTCTTCCCAACTCCTTGGGCTTTCTTTCCCCTTGACCTGGTGGACCTTCCTCCTCTTCTCCACAGAGATGGAGCAGTGAGTCTCTCCCCCCACCTCTGCCCTCAGATCTGCCTGTCCACACAGCAGATGCCATGTTCTACTGGTCAGGAAAAGCCCTGATTTGGCAGGGGAGCCTGAGGGTGTTGGCAATGCCTGAGTATGTACAGTCGCCCAATTCTGAAGCTCAGGGTGAAGAGGCTGACCGTTGCTACACATCCAAACCAGGATTTCCCTTCCAGGTTTTATTAGCAAACAAAGCTAGATTCTTCATCAGTTTGAATACCTATGTCACAACTGTTTTCAACCTCAAGCACAGAAAAAGAGGGGTTCTTACTGGCATCTTCTAACTCCAACCATAAGGACATACTCTTTCTAGAGTCTTCTGCAGCTCTTAGCAAAGTTCATTCATTGTATAGACAGGCACTTAAAAACATTATTGAATAAAAAGACATAATCAATGTTCATAAAATTTGTGGAATATAATTTTTCCTATACTTATGTCCTCAAAAACCACAACTTAAATGTCTCTTTTTAGATCAAAACAAATGCAAATCACTCCATCTATAACATATTTATTTCCTATTTACATTTCCATTTTTATGTAAATCATTGCACATCATATCACATATCAGGAAAAAAAAAAAGAAAAAGAAAGGAAAAAAATATAAACTTCCAACATCAACATCCTCTGGAAGAGTCATCCCAGAAGATGAACATCAAAAAACTTCAACAAAGATCCTGGCGCTGCTGCAGTTGTAGCGGCATTCGTCCCACTGGTTCCTGGACTTGCCATTGGAATGAAGAAGGAGATATCTAAGCTGGCCTGTGCATACAGTAAAACAACAAATTTGACTGGATCTATACTGTCGGAACTCAACCAAAAATTAGGAGAAGTGCAAGTTGCAGGGCTCCAAAATTGTGCGACTATAGACTATCTACTGTTAAAAGAACACATGGGATGTGAACAGTTCCCAGGAATGTGTTGTTTTAATTTGTCTGATTTTTCTCAAACTATTCAAATTTAGTTAGACAATATCCATCATATCATTGATAAGTTTCCACAAATGCCTAGGGTACCTAACTGGTTTTCTTGGTTTCACTGGATATGTCTGGTAATTGTAGGTCTGCTTTTGTTATGTAGCT